CCCGGCCCGGAGCGGGGCCGCAGCCCTCGCCCCCGAGCCGCCGCGGGCTCGGTTCTCCTGCCCTTCCCCGCTAACTTGTTTATTTTCCCAAAGAAAAAGGCTGCTGCCTGCCTTTTCCAGAACGATGTCACCCTCAGAGGGGGGAGAAGGAAACCTGTGAGATACCGGTGGGCTCAGTAGGGCTCAGAGGGTCCGTATGCAAACTGCAGCCCCTCTGATTATTTTTCTGTAGCACTTCAAGACAGGCTGGAGACGTAACAGCGGTCATTCAGTGTCTCCATATCTCCATATGGCAGAAACGAACTACGGAAATATGAGGACACTCGTTCGTATTATTGGAAAAAAAAAAAAAAAACCGAAACCCAAGAAAGAGGAAAAAAAAAAAAATAACCAAACTGCTCCCTGGGGCTTCAAACCCGGTCTCTACACAGGCCGAAAGGGGGGAATAATTTAAAAAAAAAAAAAAAGTGCAAACATTTCTTTGGCAAGCAGGTGAAAATAAGCAAAATCGCAAGGTGTTAACGACCTGAAGAGCACGGACAGAACGCAGCTCATTGAAATGCAAAGGCTTGGGCCAGCTTCGTGGCGCTCTGCGAGCAGCAGAACCCACCCCGAGCCGCCTCCGGCAAGCGAGCCCTGGCGAAGGGCAAACCCAAACTTTGGCTGAAGTACACATGTCCCCCGGCAAAGACAGGATGGAGTTTGCCTGGCGATGATAATGAATCTTTACAGATTTTTCTATTCCTCCCGCTTCCACAAAGTTTACTTGCGGGCCTCGAAGCTGCGATGGAAATGTAATGCAACTCCAGCTCTCGGGAGGGCAAGAATTAGGACCTCCTAAAAGTGAGAAATAAAGCTCTGAAAGAGAGACAGACCCTCTTTCCTCCCCGCTCAGCCTCTCGCCATATCAACCCTTTTAAAATAGTTTAAACAGATAATATTTCAGAGGAACTTACTTTCAGGACTCCAGTCTATTGGCTCCCTGGACTGAAAACTGGACCCGCAAAACATGTTCCCTGCAATTGCAAGGTTTATCTCATCTGGAAAAGTGCTCACCCATTGCTGCCCCTTACAAGCCAAACCAAGCAGTTAAAGTGTCACTTAACATTCTAGAGAATGTGAAATATATTGTACATTGTCAACTCCCCAAAACCATAAAACTAACTTTATGGACCTCACGTGACTTTTGAGAGCCAGTGAGGGGTATCTGTCTGAGGTCTGGGCGATTTTTACGATCTAACTTCTCGATAAAACCCTATCCATTTGACATCTAAATGTCATACCCACTTTTGGTATAGTTTGCTATTGGTAAAAAAAAAAAAAAAAATCACGGGAAGGCGAGCAAATGGTTTGGGATCTGACAGTCCACTCCACATCCCTCTCAAAATCACTTAAGAAGTACCTAAACAGTGGGAGATTAAGTTTGGTAAGTTTTAAGCTCCAACTTTACTTGCTACGAACAAAAAGCCTGAGCTGCGTTGTAGAGATGTCAGCGGCGCTTTGCCAAACCGAGCGACTTTAAAGCGGAGTTTCTCGCGCCTTGTTGGACTCCCTCGGCAGCGGGATGGCAACATTTGCCGTCCCTGCTGATGTGAAATTGTCTGCAGCCCAAGTGACTCGTGGTAGTAAGCGGCAGCAGCGGCAGGGCTGTGAGTTTACATGTTGAGGCAGAGACGAGGAGGCGAAAGCAGCGAAGCGCCAGAAACCGCGGGCGAGAGGCGGCGGGAGCGCGGAGCTGGGCGCAGGGACCCGGGCTAGAGATACATGCGCCCTATGTATAATAAATATATGGGGACAAACACACGGCCCCGGGGTTCTGCAGAGCGGGGCTGGAGGTGGAGGTGTGTCTGGCTGTAAATACCCCTGGCTTTCGGACTGCGCGCTACAGCGGTGTCTGGCGGATCCTGAGATGCGCGTAAAGCCGCCGGGAAGGGTTTGTACCGCGTTAGGGCAACTCCAAGGACTTGGAACCAGTTTGGCCGAGACGGTGGGGGGGGTCCCGCGCCCCCCCGGACCGGCCGGGGAGGGGCTGCGGCTCCGCCGAGAGCTCCCAAGCACAGGCGCGGCTCCGGGCCGGGCGGCCCCGGCTCTCCCGTGCGCTGCGGAGTCGCAGAGGTTGCGGGCAAAGTGCGACCGGGAGCCGTTGTGAATAGGAGAAACGTTTATTTGACTTCAAGTAAAGCTACAAACAAATACAAAAAGCTTATTGGCAAAGTACTAACAGGCAGCTAGACATGACAGATGCCATTTTTACACAGAACATTGCATTCACTCTGCCCACTACAAACCGTCTATTGGTCACATCAGAAATATTTCTAGTATTTACAAACATTAGAGCACTCTATTGTTGGTCCGATTTTATACATTGGATTTTTTTTAATAGTGAAGTTTACCCACGTCTAAGAGTACGTCTCGGAATTAGCCTGGGACTAGGAATCCTGGCCTGAAGTTTGAACTAAAACACC